CTGTCGGGATTTGAACTCGTGCATTTTCACGAGTTCTTTCCCTACCTCTCCCAATTTGACAACTGCCATCCCCGTTTTCAGGGGAGGGCAGGGGAGAAGAGGGGAAAAGTAGAGAGGGGAGAGAAAGGAACAGTCACGGCCGCGAACGTGGTCGCGGCCGTGCACCAAGTTCAAGCAGTATTGGCCTGAATGCAGTCATTCAGGCCAGAGTTGTGAACTGGAGGGTCAGTGAGGGGAACTTGGTCGGAAACAACCATTTTCCAGCCGAACTTGCACTTAGTGTAGGGCGGAGTGCAGGGAAAAGGGAGAAAAAGAGGGGGGCAGTTGAGTACAACTGCCACCCTAAGTGTGTGGCTGAGGTAAGACAGCCTCAGTTTGTTGATCTGGCTCAGATCAACGGCCCCAGGCGAGTGATGAATTTTGCCTGGGGGCAGCTGAGGCTGCTGCTGCCCTCCTCAGCCACTACAAAAGAGGCAGCTGTCCCCCAGCTGCCTCACACTTGCCTATAGCTGCCAGTGTGCGACAACACACTTACCTCATCGCTGGAGTGCTGGAGAGGAGGCGGGAGTGCTGTCGGCGGAGCTGGAGGACTGCGGAGGAGCGCGATGAAGGAGGAGACAGCCATAGCCTTGGCTGGAGCACTCTGCTCCACCCCTTGGCAGGCTGGTCTCAAGGGGGACTCTGCGGCAGCTTGGTGAGGAGCGGCAGCGGAGCGTGGCAAGGAGCGACGGGGAGCACGACAACTGGTGGAGGTGTGCCGACCGATATTTTCGGCAACCATAACGCATTTTGTGGGGTTATGCTGCCGAAATACCGCGGCATCGGCGGCACACCTTTATTTTGAGGGGTGACTCTGCCGTTGTCATGGCACGCCGGCGGCACTTTGTTTTGAAGAGTGGCACTGTCGTCTTTTTGCAGTGGTACGGCACAGCGAAGCGCCGCCGTCTTTTTGCAGTGGTACAGCACGGCGAAGCGCTTCCGTTTTTTTTTTTTTTGCGGTGGTACGGCACGGCGAAGCGCTGCCGTCTTTTTGCGGTGGTACGGCACGGCGAAGCGCTGTCGTCTTTTTTGCGGTGGTATGGC